GAGGTTAGAAGGGCAACAAAATGGAGCAATTTTGACAGGGTACAACAAGGGGCTGGCGAGAAGTTAGGTTTGAAGGGTGAGAAGGTTTGAGGATCCAGAAAGGGACCTCCTAAGCAGAGGCTCCAGCGGGGCCCTGTCAGCCCAGTGGTGCTGAGGAGTGAGAAGGGTCAGTGCTAACAGGCTTGCAGTTGGCCCAGGAGGCACAAATAAAAATATAATATACCACCTCTCCTGATGTTTGGGGGTCTCAGCAGCCTGGCTGAGTAGCAGCTTCAGCCTCAGCCTGTGCTACTACAGGCTCTGCTGCCCTGCGAGTTCCCCACTGTCACCCTGGGGCACAGGTCCTGGCGGATGGTTGGATGGACAGCATGTGACTGGTGGACAGATTGGAGATGAAGAGATAAATGAATGCATCACTTTCCATGGTGAGTAGGAAAGGGTGGGAGAAAAGACAATAAAGAAATGGATGGATGACCACACAGGGAGAAGTGGTGCAGTGGGTGCATGGCTGCGTTGAGGGATGGAGGTGTGTGTGAGAGAGAGACATACAGGTGTCCCATGGATTAATGAAAGCTTATAGCCATGAATTGGTGTGTAAGGCTTGGCTATGTGGATAGCTAAATAGGTAGATGGGGTTAGTGCAAGGCTAGGTGTTCTGATGGCTGCGTGGGTGGATATAGGACTGGATGAAGGGGTGGATGCGTGGACACTTGGTGCAAGGAGCTAGAAGCACTGGGGGGTGGATGAGCAGATGGATGCACATCCAGTGGGTCGTTTTTGGAGAGACTGGTGAGTGATGAGCTGGAGGGGCAGAGACGCAAGTGGGTAAATAGCTAGATAAAGGGTAAGAGGCTGGCTGGAAAAGGGGACCAGTGGATGAATAGATGAATGTCCAGGTGGTCACATTCGCTTGGATGTGTGGAGAGGAAAGTGGGAAGACGAGGTACATGGGTGTTGAAGTGTGCAGCCTGGGGGACTGGACCCACTGGATTTGAATCCCGGTTCTGCTATTTATGGGCTGCATAACCTGGGATGAGTTGCTGCCTTTCCTTTCCTGTTTCCTT